GTCGTCTTGCGAAGCAAGCCCATAGGGAAATTCGTCTTGCGAAGCGCCTCCAAAACGGAAAACCCTTTCGTCTAGCGGGTTTTCCATCTTGCGAGGCGTTCGTCTTGCGAGGTACCACTGTATAAGCTACATGTTGCTATTGCTACCCTTCACCCAAATTCTGGGAGCTTGTGTTCTGAAAAACAAGCAAAAGACTAAGTTCACCTGCAGATGGTCACTGTTTTGCAGGAGGGATTCAAGTGCACACTGGAGCCCAATATTTGTGCAATTAAAAGTGCATAAAATTGTTCCGTCACCTCAATGCAACAAAGCTACTTAAAAATTAACAGCAGCTTTCTGCAGTTAGGTGGGGAAATGCCCTGAAAAGTGTGGGATAGAGAAATGATTAAGGGAAAGACATATAAACACCCCACAAGCAACCCACGATGAATGCTCATTGTCATATAACCACCCCACAAACAAATCAGAACAAAGACTCCACAAAGATTTGGCATAATTGCAGAACAGCTGCAATTATTGAAATGAATAGGTTACTTGATAATCTTAGAAATGGATTGAAAAGGGCCAGTGAAACCTGACATTGCTGGTTGAGAGGCTATTTGTCCCAAGTGTTTATGTTGAAGCAGAATTCGGATTTGGTCTCGCTACCAAAAGCAGCAGATTTTAATTTGGAAAGTAATAGGCAGGAGCTACCACTGTACAAAAGCAACCAGGCATTGCATGTCATGTAGCCATCCCAGCTGGATGGCTATGCAGCAATATCAAAAGTGTTAAATGTATCCTATGACCTTTTGCTCCTGCTCTCGGGCTCCCCATTTGGATGTATTTATTTTTCTGCAAAATGAACCACTCCATGCCTCTCATTGTGTTTTATCTTGTGTTTAATTTAAATGGAAGATAGTCAAAGGCAAAGGACTAATTTGTCACACTGGGAAGAGAATTCTCAGTGAGCAACTAAAAAACTTTGCTGCTCTATTATCATTTTTTTTAAAGGGATGCAATTATTATTTTGTTTTCCTGGAAGTGTTAATATGCTACATTATTCTTAATGGTAAACAACCTCTGCAGATCTTGAAGAAACCACCTAGCAGGGAAAGGGAGGGAAAGGGAGGGGGGCGTCCTCGTCTACTGCCAACACAATTGGCCTTACTCTAATTTAAGCAACATAGTCAGAGTTCACAAAAACTTGTCATAAAGCATGTTACAGAGAAGCAAAGTGTTGGAAGGAGCAAAAGTCTATAGGTCACTGTAGTTCAGGAATCAGGACATCCACCTACAGGCACATTTGCAGCATTTAGAAGTCCACATCATATTTTTTCCCAGCAGTTCAAATGCACCAGAATCTGGCCTAGCCTTCCCCAACCTGGTGCCCTCCGGCTGTTTTAGAGTTGTTGTTGTTGTTGTTTAGTCATTTAGTCGTGTCCGACTCTTCGTGACCCCATAGACCAGAGCACGCCAGGCACTCCTGTCTTCCACTGCCTCCCACAGTTTGGTCAAACTCATGCTGGTAGCTTCGGGAACCAACCATCTCGACCTCTGTCGTCCCCTTCTCCTTGTGCCCTCCATTTTACCCAGCATCAGGGTCTTTTCCAGGGAGTCTTCTCTTCTCATGAGGTGGCCAAAGTCTTGGAGCCTCAGCTTCACGATCTGTCCTTCCAGTGAGCACTCAGGGCTGATTTCCTTCAGAATGGATAGGTTTGCTCTTCTTGCAGTCCATGGGACTCTCAAGAGTCTCCTCCAGCACCATAATTCAAAAGCATCAATTCTTTGGCGATCAGCCTTCTTTATGGTCCAGCTCTCACTTCCATACATCACTAGTAGGAAAACCATAGCTTTACCTATACGGACGTTTGTCGGCAAGGTGATGTCTCTGCTTTATAAGATGCTGTCTAGGTTTGTATTTGCTCTTCTCCCAAGAAGCAGGCGTCTTTTAATTTTGTGACTGCTGTCACCATCTGCAGTGATCAAGGAGCCCAAGAAAGTAAAATCTCTCACTGCCTCCATTTCTTCCCCTTCTATTTGCCAGGAGGTGATGGGACCAGTGGCCATGATCTTAATTCTGGCTTGGGATTCATCCAGTCCAGCCTTTTAGCTTCCCTTACTTCCAACCAAGGGACGCGGGTGGCGCTGTGGGTAAAAGCCTCAGTGCCTAGGGCTTGCCGATCGAAAGGTCGGCGGTTCGAATCCCCGCGGCGGGGTGCGCTCCCGTTGCTCGGTCCCAGCGCCTGCCAACCTAGCAGTTCGAAAGCACCCCCGGGTGCAAGTAGATAAATAGGGACCGCTTACTAGCGGGAAAGTAAACGGCGTTTCCGTGTGCGGCTCTGGCTCGCCAGATGCAGCTTTGTCACGCTGGCCACGTGACCCGGAAGTGTCTCCGGACAGCGCTGGCCCCCGGCCTCTTGAGTGAGATGAGCGCACAACCCTAGAGTCTGTCAAGACTGGCCCGTACCAGCAGGGGTACCTTTACCTTTTTACTTCCAACCAAGTGATACTGTTTTTGTCATTCTGATTAAGCATTTTGCCAGGAAAGATGAAATAACATAAGAAGTGCAAGGACACATGTAGTGCGACCGTGAAAATCCTGTATCCCCCGCACCTGCTCCTTCCACTAAAGATGGGTTTAAAAATAGCTGGGGATTTATGTGCACCTCAAACCAAACCTGAACAGTACAAACTCAACACCTTATTTGTGGTATAGGGTGGAATATATATTCAGTCAACAAGGAAGGAAGGATTGATTGGGTGGAGCTGTCAAGGGTAGTTGCAGGCAACACATGGGATGAATGGAAGAATTTTTGATGGTTGAATTGTTCTTACTCTGGGCTTTTAAACAGAGACACAAAAACCACAATGGCAGAAGGCTAGAAAAGGTAGAGTCTTTTTTACCAGCATTATCTCATTGAGGAAAAATGGCAAAGGAGCACTTTCAGTGTTCAACAAACCTCATCCCAAATCTGTAGTGGCTGTAGAACCAAGCTCTCATTGTATAATTTTCATTTAGCAAAGTAGATATGGCCTCCTATCATTTTGCCCCCTCCCCTGCCCCCCAGCTGTACTCATGCACATTTGTCCGGCAAGCGGACCAGGATGGGATTTCCAAGGGGAAGAAGAAAACTACTGACCCGAGCTGGAGGATCAGAATAACAAAGGAGTCTTACAATTATCATTGCACTGAAAACAGGGTAGCTGTGTTGATGGAACTTTTGATTCAGAGCTGTTTTGGCTGAATGGTTTTACTTATGGAAATACTTGGGTTTCCTGTGTAGCTTGTTTGGCTTTCGTGGAAACGGTTTGCTTTAGACAGAACACTGTGAAATCTATCGTATGTGAGGTTAGAGCAAAAAAATGACTCCAGCCAGGTTCTTATAACAATTTTGCCTCCTAAATTTGATGTGCAGGAAATTCTTGTCATTGCCCATCAGCAGTAAGCAGGTGGATGTCTTTCTGCATCTGTGTTGAATGTGTTTGGATGTCTGGTGCTGTTTTCTTGCTGGCACGTAGATGTATGTGTGGCAGCCTCCTTGCTTGCTTGGAGGAGCTACAGTTCAATGGCAGAGCATCCACTCTTGCACAAATATGGTCCCAAGTTCTAAATCCCAGACAGATCTCCCTGGACAGAGCCACCGCCTGTCAATGTTAACCAGAATGAACTTCAGCGCTTTTGAAGCTTGCATCTTCAGTCGTTGTTGGACTACAGTTCCCATCACCCTATCAGAACCAGTGGTCAGGGATGATGGGCATTGTAGTCTCACAAGAGCTGGAGACCTAAGTTTGAGAAACACTGATGGATTAATGGTCTGACTTGGTGTAAGGCAGCTTTCTATGTTACACCTTTTTAGATCGTGTTTGTGTGGATGTGTTAGGGCTTGCCGATCAGAAGGTTGGCGGTTTGAATCCCCGTGATGGAGTGAGCTCCCGTTGTTCGGTCCCAGCTCCTGCCAACGCAGCAGTTCGAAAGCACGTCAAAGTGCAAGTAGATAAATAGGTACCACTCCAGCGGGAAGGCAAACGGTGTTTCCGTGCGCTGCTCTGGTTCGCCAGAAGCGGCTTAGTCATGCTGACCACATGACCTGGAAGCTGTCTGCAGATGAATGCCGGCTCCCTCGGCCTATAGAGTGAGATGAGCGCCGCAACCCCAGAGTCGGCCACTACTTGATCTAATGGTCAGGGGTACCTTTACCTTACCTTTCTCTTACAACCACTAAAAAACAGGGAAATGTTGTAGGGCTACTATATTTGAGAAATTCTGGGGCTTCTGTTTTGGACCTAGGCCCATCAACTACCAGATATGGGCTTGTTGCACATTTTATACTTCATAGTGTAGAGCATAGCATACTGACAATCCTACAGCTACCCTCTTTTTCCAGCCCCCTTGAGAAGGCAAACATCCCTTGTCTTACTTGAGAATTGAGTTGGCAAGTAACAAGCATCATTGGAGAACGTGTGGGATAAACATTGCCACTGGTAATTTTTCAAGAGCTCATAACTCTTTGGCATGTGCTCTTTCTCAGGATATGTGCCTCCCACCTGCCCTTTATGCAGACAAAGGAAACAAGCAAACCACCAACCATAAAACAAAATTTGAGCTGATTCAGGCAGCTGTCAAAGCACTTTGGGATGAGGCAGGCTGTTTCCTGAAGCATTGAATTGGTGTCTGAACCAATTCTTGTGATTCGTGCACACACTTCTGTGTTGGTATAGATTCAGATATTTCAGCAATACTTTTGATGATCTCAGGGTGAGAGTGTATTATTGGTGAAAGCAGCTATACTAAGGCCAGAACTTTCAACAGTGGTGAGAATTTTGTGCATCTTCCTATTTAAATAATGTTCTCTATAGCTTTTGCAATATTTTTCGATATTTGAATAATCTCCAAACATCATGAGCACTCTTTCTTCAGGGAAAACATCAATGACAATGTTGATAGGACTAAACTCAATGTTAAATAGCACAGAGCCCATGGAACACACATTTTGCAAATCTGGGAGGAACACAAGCAATTCAGCTTCAATCTCAGAACAAGTTTTATTCTGATTTTGTTTTTCACAAACATTTTAGTATGAAGGCATCATTTGTTAGAGTTTTCAGTTATGTATGGCACAGACAAAAGGAAAAGAACAGATTCATCAGCAAGTCCAGCATTTAAATGTCAGATTAACAAAAGAGGCTTGAGTTAACCCTATTTAGCAGTCTATATTAGAAGATATTTTGCAAGCAAGAGACTACATTTATTTGCATTGAAGTAAAAACATATTTTTGATCAAGAAAATTACATTTTTTTTCTGACTTTCTTTATATCACAAATGTCAGGGTAAGGCAAATCCTTGATGAATTGTATGATAAAAATCCTATTTCCCAAGAAAATATATCCAACATATTTTGCTAACTTTGTCATTTTAAAAGCAAAGCGAACATGCACTGCATATAGAGAAATGTCTTCTTTGAAATCAAGTGCATAAGCAGAACAGTGTTAATTCACAAAAGAGGCTTTTCAGTGCTTCAGGGAGAGATTTACAGTTAGCTGCAGTGAATAGTATGCGGTCCAATATTAGAGAAAGTAATGTCCCAGACATCTCATCTGTAAACTTTTTATGAAAAGGAAACTTGTCAATCATCAGAACAATTGCTAGCATAGAGTCTCCCCCCTCAGTGTAGAATGAGGACATGAAAAGGACACCTAGGAACAATAACGTTAAGATAATAGTTTTTGGATGCAAACACAAGTAATATAGGGCCTCTGTTCTCCATGTGCAAAGTATTGTGAAGGCAGTCAGGATGGGGGGACGGTATATCTTTTAGATGTCAGTAAAACTTGGTGTTAATGTAAGAGTTCACACATTTTAATATCTTCTACGGAGCCTACTGTGCGTGTGTTTCTCTAAGCTCTAACAGAATCTACTCAGGCTGTATTAAGAGTGTTTTGTGTGCCGCGTTAGCTGAGAAAATGGGAATTGTATTATTGCCTGCATTATTTAGTTTAAAAACGGCCACCCCGCCTGACCCGAAAGCACATACAGCCCTACAGTCCCAAATGAGAAAATCGTAAGTCACAGAGTCAAATCTGACACCAGACGGTTGCGATTTAATCGACCTTCCCCACCTTTGTCGTCTGAGATTCTGTGTTTGCTTCACACTTTGTGATAGCATCCTGAGGCAAAACTTTCAGAAAGAAGCACCACTGTTAAGGAGGACCAAGGTTAAGTGGAAATGGCAATGAAATTACTGCCATGTGCAATGGGGGGCAGGGGGGGGCGGAGATAGGCTCCAATCCAAGTATTTTGGTAGTTAATCATGTCGCGCACCTCTCCATCTTCAGTAGACGTTCAAACAGCTTTACGTGTCTCTGCATATTTTTCTACATTCCTCTATTGTCTAGCCTGGTCCCCTTTTTGTCTGCTCCTTTCTAAAACTTAATCACAATGCTGCCTGAGGGGATTTAGATGCCAATAGGCTTTGGTTCTCCACTACATACAGAGATGAGGCTTTCTAGAGGAATAATTTGCTGCTGCTGTGCCCTGGCCCAGTTGGATCCTCATGTTCACAGATACCACCTACAGGCACATTCGCCAAGCAGCACCAAACATATGGCTAAGGGTGGAGGCATGGTCTGGATTTAACCCCGTGCACCTCCAAGCTCATGTCCAGCTTTGATATTTTCTGTAGAATCTACTGTGTGTACTTCTAACTAAGCTCTTTAAAAAAAACAACACCCTACTTAGGCTGCATAAGCATGTGCCTGTATAGCACAAGCCAAAAGAAAATGGGAAACTATATTATTGCGTGCACATTGCTTATTTTCAACAACACACGGGGAGGAATTCAGCTTCACTTTTCCGATTGTTCTGCCAGGAACCTGCCGGATAGAACCATCTCCCCTATCTCCCCCCTATGTACTGTTCCAGGGGTTCTCCTGAACCCCCCACAACCAATTCAAGGGGTGCTTGGTGGGGCACGGGGAACCTCATTGCACAAGCAGAGGTTCTTCGACTGATGGGACTCCTTAGTCGAATCTTGCCCATACAATCCCATATGGAAAAAAATTGGCTCACATGATGTAACATTCCAAATTATGGCTTACTGGGCTTCTGGAGAGTTCACAGTTGCTTTATTATTATGTATTTATTGAATTTATATACTGCTTTGTTCCTCTCCGCTCTCTTTTTTACTGCCACGTCATGTAGAGCTAAGCCAAAGCTGAGCATATCAACTCGACTGAGGGCTCGTCCACACTTCTGCTTGCGCCATGTGGTTTCCTCCTTGCCTCTCTCCTTTCCTGGGCAAAACCTGTTCCTTGGTGCTAAATTGGAGGCAACGTCAATCTGGAGAAAACCCAAATTGCCATTTGCTCCAATTGAACATAAAGAATGGTTTTCGCAAGAGGAAGGCAACAGGGCAGGAAGTGTGGATAAGTAGTGAGACGCATGTGAGTCTCTAAAGGGCATCATTTAGGTAGCCCCATGTGTTTTTACAAAGCCCCACCACCTCTCTTTTCATGCATGGATCAAATTGGGCAAGGTAATCCATTCTCTGAAGGCTGCTTTTACATGCAGATTGCTTCTGCTAATTTGGGGTGTGCTTGTGACGTATAGCTTGCTAGTCCTTCGATCACAGTATGTGGAATCTACCAGAAATGATAAATCAACACAAAGAGAAGGGAGGTGGGGCAGAAAACATAAAAAAGATACTTCTGATTCCAGTTAGCAGGAATGGAAAAGAAGAGGCACAGGAGCTCCACAGGTATAATGGGAGACTAAAATACATTCTTACTAAGTATAGCAAAATATCAGACGACATGGATTTAAATGTAACCCATACAATTTATTATACAGGGAACCTAGGTTCATATTAATGCTGATTATATTAATGCCTGTGTGATTCCAGATGGAAAAAAATCTTACTTTCTGGACATCACCACAACGGATGGTTGAAAATGACAGGTGAAATTAGCAATAGACGATGCCATCTTTTCATAGCACAGTGTTTCTTCCCCCTGCCCATACATAAATGTTGCTTAATTGGCAACACAACTATAGATCACAATGGAAACAGCAGCCTTGGCTTGGTAACCCACCTACGTGGCATGCGGTAAACTAATTCATATTTCCATATACAATTGTGGAAGCTTAAAATATGTTTACAAATTCAAGTTGGCAAAACTGGAAGAAAAAGAGTAGGGCTGATAGATTTTAGCTTAATTTCACACACACACACACACACACACACACACCCTACATCTTTATTGTTTGGGGTTGTTGCTGTTGTTTTGAAAATTCCAAAAATTATTTTAGGACTGTGGAGGATGGTGTCTATGCATAATAAGTTAAACCAGAATCTCATAATGTAAAAACATTCCTCTAATTGTTTTTAACAGCAGTTGGAAAATAGTTTTCAGAATATCAAACCATGGACTCATGCTGTGTGTTCTTTCAATCTTGCAAGTAGGGTATCATTTTAATTTACAGTGTGGTTGAAAAATGAATGTAAAATTCTTGTTTTTAAGTTGAGCACAGCATTTGCGAGCAGAACAGATGACATATGGTACAACATTCGTCACCAAATAACTGTTAATTGCATTTTTATGTATTAAAAAGTGTGCATATGCAGTTGAAAATATAACAAGAGTTGACAAGAAATTGTTAAAGCCAGAAGCCACATTTTATAATGTGCTAGATGCAGAATATCAGCTCTCCCTCTCATCAGAGGGCACCAAAAGTGATAGTAATGTTCCGTATCTAGCTGACCATTACTAGACAATAAAATATAGGGCCATGTGGCAACACAATTGGGGTACAAAAATGTTTCATGCCGTGAGTAGTTTAGCAAAGGATTTGCTAACGACAGAAATTGATTGTCATATGAAAAGTCAAGTTAGTCTAGAAACTCCATGAGTAACCTTATGAGTAACCCATGAGTTTGCCCATGAGTAACCTCACACATCCATGAAGGATAACTTAAAATGCACCCGACAGCCAATTCAATTGTCCCTACATGAAGTGTACTGAAAAACACAGGAGTTGCAATGCTTGCAAGCCTCTTATCAGATGGATTGTCTCAATCATATGGAGAATCTCCATATGGAAATATTTTCCAACCTCTGGTTTACATAAGGCTACCTGCAGGCAACTTCAGCAACACCAGAAATGTTTGTTTGAGCAGATTCCACATGGAAGCAGTAATATCTGACACATGGGTCCTGAAATCTCCATTCACACGCCTCTATGCGTTTCTAGTTCTTATACTTTCCCCGCTGTCCATAGAAAAGCATAACAAGCCGAACACTACGAGGCACTGGCCTTGACAGGCTGACAAGTACCAGTATGGCCAAGGATAAGAACATTCCCCTAGTAGACCTCTGAGGATTTCTAACAACGTTTAAAGGTCATTCGCACATGTTGCCTTGAAGAGGTATTACAGCTGAGAAATAATATTTAGGGTGTGTGTGTGTGTGCGGACATATTCTGCAGAGGGGCTTAGATTTTCAAAAGAAGATGAAAAACACACAGGGTCGAAGCAAAGAAGAGTGAACCAGGACATTGTAATCAAAGTAGAGAAGCTTCATGTTGTGTACTGAACAAAACGAAACAAAGAAGAGAAACAAATGTAAAGGATCCTTATCCTTAGTCCCCCTCCCCCCTCCCCACACTCTCCTTGGTGTGCTGTTGTCTGCTAGTCATAAAGTTGTCATATAGTGCACCAGTGACTGCAGTTCTTGTTCCACTCTCCTCTTCTCTTCTTCTCTCATCATGGTCGTCTGCGGGGATGGAAATGATAATCATAATCAAAATAATCAAAAAAACCCATCTGGTTGGGTTTCCTCAGCCACTCTGGGCGGCTTCCAGCAGAACACTAAAATACAAAAACCTATTAAACATTAAAAGCTTCCCTAAACAGGGCTGCCTTCAGATGTCTTCTAAAAGTTTGGTAGTTATTTTTCTCTTTGACATCTGGTGGGAGGGCATTCCACAGGGCGGGTGCCACTACCAAGAAGGCCCTCTGCCTGGTTCCCTGTAACTTGGCTTCTCGCAGCAAGGGAACCGCCAGAAGGCCCTCGGAGCTGGACCTCAGGGTCTGGGTAGAATGATGGGGGTGGAGATGCGCCTTCAGGTATACTGGACCGAGGCCGTTTAGGGCTTTAAAGGTCAGCACCAACACTTTGAATTGTGCCCGGAAACGTACTGGAAAGAAAGCAACTCATCATGAAATTACTGTAATGTCACAGAACTCTACAGGACCACCGACGACATACTTTTACCTGTGTTTTCGGAAGGCTACTTCTGACATTACATTTTAGTAGTCCTGGCTTTGCAAATATGTGGAGGAAGAACTGAGGAGCAGCTGCCTCCTGGACCCTTCTGTTGGGTGGTTTGGCTCTGGCCTGCATTCTGCACCATCAAACTTTCCAGCTTAACTTAAGGATTTCTAATTTTGGAACTGGGGCATAAACTTTTTTCCATATACAGTGGTACCTCGGGTTAAGCCCTTAATTCGTTCCGGAGGTCTGTTCTTAAGCTGAAACTGTTCTTAACCTGAAGCACAACTTTAGCTAATGGGGCCTCCTGCTGCCGCCGCGCCGCTGAAGTACGATTTCTGTTCTCATCCTGAAGCAAAGTTCTTAACCCGAGGGACTATTTCTGGGCAAGCGGAGTCTGTAACCTGAAGCGTATGTAACCTGAAGCGTATGTAACCCAAGGTACCCCTGTAGTTTTCAGGTTGTATGCTATTCACTAAAGTTACCGGAACATTTTCTCACCTCTCTGCAAACTTGGTGTAAACAAATTGGGATGGATGCTCAATAAGCAGTAAATCCAAGTAAGGAGTTAAAAAACATTAACAAAAAAAAGTCCTAAGCATGTACCAACAGCAGCCAGCTTTGTCTTATGAATGCTGGTCACACAGGTGCAACAGTGGGACAAATTGTAATTAATTGTAATCGGGTTGCACCGTTTTTGTGGGTGGAGATGCTTGTCTCACAGTGAAATGAGCATGGCAGTGAGCTAGTAGATGCATATTTCAAATGCAGGATTTGCTATCCTTTGTGACATCCATATTTTTAACCACCAGCATTACCATGAACTATTGCACTTAATTATGAGGATGTTAGAAACTGATTATCACAGAGTAATTAAATGGTGAGCTTGCATCCAAAGCATTATTAGCATCAGTTATTAATTTTGAATCACCTTGAATTATCTTCGTGGTGCATCATAAAGCTTATGCTTCCTTTTTTTGATTAGCTTTGTGGGAACTGAAAGGAAGAGAGTGATCTCATCTGCTTAGAACGTGTGTTTCTAGCCGTCACAAAGTTCTAATCTTTTGCCTACTTGCTATTTTTAAAAGCTTCTGCGGGCAAAAGTGGAAGGACTCTGAGAAACATCACATAATGATATAAATATGAATTAGAGATGGCTTTTTGTTTTGTTTTTTTAAAAATGGCTTATTCAATTAGTGATTCCTTATAGTTTCTTTAGTGCAGATGACAAAAGCTTTTTGATCAGACAAGGCGATAACACTAGACTCTGTAAAAGGTCTGCAGTGAAAGGGATTATTTGTTCTGAAGTTTTCCCTGTTTTCTTGAGCTTTTTTCTCTGCATACCTGGCTGGGTTCCTCTCTCTCTCTCCCTCCTCTGGGCTTCTTTGCTATTACGTTATCTTTTATTATAAGTAAGTAATTATACTGCTTCATGTTTGGTTAAGTATTATTTTATCCTATCTTCCATCTCTTCAACTCACTACACTGCATGAGTTTCTCATATATTTTATCCATGTCCTTCATTCCCCCAATTTCTTGTTACATATATTATTATCTTTTCACTACTTCGTCAATATCTATCTCATCTTAAGATTCCAAAGTATGAATGAGCCTTTCGGCTGAACAGACAGTACCTTTGTGGATGCCCTGTCTCTTAAGGATAGTTTCCTGTTTCAACCAAACTGGGAAACTGTGGTTAAGGGCCTCAGAACAAACAAGAATATTAAGCCAACTTCCAACCATGGCTGGTAATAACTTCAGTGTTAAACTACAGTTACTAGAAGGCTTTCTGGCTTTTTGTGTTGGCTCACATGAGGAGAGGGAAGAACCTGTTTGTTTGGCCAAAAGATGGCATTCGTACCTCAGCTTATTAAACAAAGATAGGAGTGTCTGTACTTTTGTCCATTCTTTCCTTTGTTTTGAATAAACATTTATTTAAAATATCTGTATTTATACGTGTGCACAAGTTGCTCAACCTTCTAGTGGAGACTTTAAGGCAGCAATCTCCTACCTGAACATAGTTCCTATTAAACTCAGTGAGACTTATTTCTTAGCCTATATGCACTGTAAACAAATTTGCACTTACAATATAAAAATAAATGAATTGTGGTTGCCGTCTCTGCAACCCTGGTCAAGTCTATCTAACCATGGCTAATACATGAAGTACTGAGGTACAAGTGTAGGTTAAGTTTTGAATGATTGCTCCCACCTTCTGCAAATCAGATATTTTTATTTCCCCGAGAATGAAACATACAAAGATTCAATGGAATTGGCTAATAACTTTCTTTTTTCTTTCTTTTTTGCTTGTTAATTCCACCTGATATCTCCTAATGCATATATTTGTGGGGAAAATAAATAATTCAATTCACTACTCAGTGAAAAAGAGTGTCTTTCCATTTAGATGAAAGCAATTTATAGAAACTAGTTATATTTTTCTGCTCAATGGAGGTCATAGCCTTTCAAACTATTTCTAAAATGGCAAGCACTTGATAGCTTTATTTTTAGTATATAAATGCCGAGAGAGAGAATGAAAATGAATTAGATGGTGAAACTGAAAAGAAGAATTTCAATGTAGCATTTTAATTGTTATGCTGTGTGTGGCCTCCCCTCCTTTTTGCCTGACAACTTTTTAAACGGAGGCTATAGCAGGGCCCTATTTCTTTCTCCCATCTGCAGCACTGCAGTATATTGTCAATATACTGACAAGGACAAAAAGGTACACATAGTAATAAGACGCTTTGAAAATCTCTGTGACAGAACTGCCACTGTTACAAAGCTTCTATATTTGGTTTTGAGATACACAAAATCCCATTATAGGTGTAAATAAACACATCACGGTCTATATGATATTGGTATCTTGTAACAAGCATTACAAAAGAATGGTAGAAACGGATTTGTTTGTCTCTCTCTTTCTTTCTTTCTTTCTCTCTCTCTCTCTCTCTCTCTCTCTCTCTCTGTGTGTGTGTGTGTGTGTGTGTGTGTGTGTAGTACCCATCTTCCAAAGTGATCTCAAAACTGCATTTTATAATTTGGGTTGTTGTTTTTCTATCTAGGAATCCAGCTGATATGTGTGTGCCAATATTTGTGAGTAATTATTATTATTTTATTTATTCTGTAACTGAATTGGCACACCTTTTAGGTTACGTGTGTTTCATTCATATATATATATATATATATATATATATATATATATATATATATATATATATATATATATATATATATATATTGGTTTTCGTAGATTTTCACGGGTACAGGAATGCAGGTTTTGGTGTCCTCGGGTGTCTTCCCGTGTAAAAGTTGGGGTGTCAAGGCGACGTTTCGACGAGGTCTCACTCGTCATCTTCAGGCTGGTGCTTTCGGCTTCTTGTTACTGGAACAGAGCAGGATCTCAGTGTTTGAGTTCCTATAAATACTGTTGAGGGGGTGTGGTGTATAGCCTCCAATGTTCTGGGCAGAGAGGAAGTTCCCAGGTTAGTGTGCCTTTTCTTCTTTTGTTCCTTAATTACTTGAGGGATATCTTGAGTGATTTCTTGAGTGATATCCTGAGTACCACTTAGGTGGGTCATTAGGTGTGGATTAGTTGCTAAAGCCTTCGTGTCTTGACCTCTTGAACTTTGTGAAGAGTTTTTCTGAGAAGATGGCTGTACTGCAATTAGTTGTGCTCTGGCTTGGCTTCGTGTATAGGGGCGAGCTGTGGTTTTGTGTCCTGTGCCAGCCAGATCTGTGTAGGGATTGCAGGGGGGTGCAGCATCCGGAGGTGCCACCATGGTTTGGCTACTGGATGGTGTCTGTAATTTATCTGTGGAGAGGGTCTGGGTTTGGGTCTGGTGTGGTTGATTGGTGATGGCGTTCTGTGTGCCTCTGGATCTGGTGTCGGTTTTTGTGGGGAGGGCTAATTTCCAGATGTCTGGCAGGCGGGATGTGTCGTCACGCTTGTTCATGTTGTGAGGGTGTTTCTCTATCTCGATGGCTTCCATGATTATTCTCCAGCTACCGAAAGGATCCTGAAACGATCCTGAAACGAACTGAACTATCCCTAATCAGAAACGAACTACATAAGAAAAGATACCTACTAAACCAAACCAACAAAGATCTGCTCACTCTTCACCTCAAACTCTGTAACAAAATCCACCCTGCACTCTGGGACAAATGCAAACAACTAGCCGTCTGGAGAGCTGAAACTGAGACCTCACATAAGACAGACACACACACCAACAAACTCCACAAACTAGAGAAACGCCAGAAGCCCAGCCACCCTCCACAACAACCCATGAAACAAACAGTACATAACATATCAGACAGGATCCTCACCTCAACTGAAACCAGAGTACTCTCCAAAGGTTTCAACTTTGCAGTCGCCCCGAGACGCATCCCCACGGAAAACATCATATGCGGAGTCGAAGCTAGCCTAACCAAAATCAACCCAGATGAAGCCAATAAAATCAGACTTGAAGTCACCAACATCCTCTGCTCCAGCAAACCACCCAGAAGCAATTTAC